GAGATAAAGAAAGAGGGTGATGCACTGGTGGTTGAGACGGGTACTGATTCTTCTTCACTGCTCCAGTATAATTTTTTTGCTTTAACGCTGCCTATGCAATTGACTAAAAAACCCACTTTTTCAACATGTATGATTCTCATAAAACAGAATAACACCCCTCCTCACCCCCTTTTCCACCTTTTCTTCCCCATGTCTTTGAACATTATGCAATAAACATCGTCTTACGCGATGGGCTTGTCCCAGTCCAACTTGCCCTCCTGGACGGCAAGCGCTGCTAACATGGCGGTAAAGCTTTTGGTGTTGGACCCAATGCCCATTAGAGTTGATGACGTCATTGGTTCACCGGAACGGAGTCTTTTAAGGCCGTAGCCCTCTGGTGAGGCGAGAGAAAAAAGCAATTTTTTGCTACCAGGGGCCAAAAAGAATATGTTCATTTTTTCCCCAAAGAAGTGCCCATTTGACGTTACCAAACTTCTATTTTAATCATTTCATCAAAAGAAAATGATCTTACCTCTCATTTTGTTGTTTCTTGCTTTGCTCAATGTTCCTTCATCTTTCAAAGTTCCGTTTCTTGGTCATGGGTATATTCTAAAGGTCACCCATTCATAATTATCCCTTTTCTTTCCCAACATGTTTGACTATCCCAGAGAGTGGTGGCCAAAGTTTTCGTAACAACAAAGGTTCCTAGTTAAAGACACGAACTGACAACAGTTGCACATGAAAGAAATGTAATTACATTCTTTTCGTGCTAAAATGCTGTCCAGATAAGTGAAGGTAGAATGCTTCACCGGTAAGGATTGGGAGTTTTAAAGGGCAGTCCAAATTTATTCCTTTCCGCCTATCATTTATTTTAGTTTTGTTATTCTTGTGGGTTAAAAAAAAATTAATTCCAAGGATTGTTTGCCGTTTACTTCTCTCTATGTTACGTTTAAAGCAATAAAAGACAACCAGCTAGCCGAGTAAACAACAATCCTATTAAAGCAACAAGCAACTAATACAATAGTTACATAATATGTACATGTAACTGAAAGATGTCAAAGTGGCTAAACAACATTTCACGTAGTTAAAGAATATATACATGCAATGCAATGCACTGCACTTTGTGTTCCCAATCGAAAAAAATAAAAGAAGTACACATATCACCTGCTAATAACGTTCGTTCGCTCGTTACCATGGAGATCTGCAAGCCTGGGATATTGTTACATTTCATAACAGTGTGGATGAAGTCGTTAACATTTCGCCGGGAATCCGGGGTCAGTTGTTGGAGGCCGAGTACAGTGGACAGGGAGACCACAAACGTCAGCCACACGGCACCGTGGTAGAACATGGTGGGGAATCTGTATAATTGGAGAATCAGAACAGACAGAGGTGTTGGTTCCAAGAAGGGAAAAAGTGGATGTGGGGGTGGGTCATTGGGGTTGGGATAAAAG